ACGACTAACGTCGCCGGCTCGCCGTTTTCGACATGCAAAGCGGGCTTTTTTCACAAGCCCTGCTAGCCTCCGAGGGGGCGGGGTCGTTACCATCGCAAACCCGCGGCTAGCGCCGACGGCTCACGCGCCGTAGCGATAGTGACGCCTCTCCTCTCCCAACGTAAGAATCCCGAGCGAGCAGCTACGCATGGTAACGACCCGGTTGTCGGTGATGATGTTCCTCCAGTTCTTCACTTGGGGGGCTTGGTTCGTGACGCTGTTCCTCTGCATGGGGAGCGCCGGGCTGGGCGACTTCACGCCGCGGGCGTATCAGAGCGCGCCGATCGCCGCGATCATCGCGCCGCTGTTCTTAGGGCTGATCGCCGACCGCTTGTTCCCCTCACAGATGGTGCAGGGCGTGCTGATGCTGATCGGCGCCGGCCTGATGTACGGCGCCGCCGGGGCGGTGGAGGCGGGCAACGGCTCGCTGGCGGTGTGGCTCTTCATCGGCCACATGCTCTGCTACATGCCGACGCTCGGCCTGGGCAACTCGATCGCGTTCGCGAACATCGACGACCAGAACAAGTTCCCGGCGATCCGTGTCTGGGGCACGATCGGCTGGATCGTGGCGGGCCTCGTGGTGGGCGGCCTCGGGTGGTCGGCGAGCACCAAGATCCTCTACCTCGGCGCGGCGGCGTCGGCCGTGTTTGGGTTCTACAGCTTCACGCTCCCGCACACGCCGCCGCCGGCGAAGGGCAAGCCGCTCGACATCGGTAGCCTGTTGATGCGCGACGCTTTCGGGTTGATGAAGAGCGTGCCGTTCGCGGTGTTTATCCTCTGCTCAACGCTGATCTGTATCCCGCTGGCTTACTACTACCAGTACGCGTCGGGCCTGTTGTCGCAGACCGGTTTTGAAGAGCCCGCGGCGACGATGTCGCTAGGGCAGATGAGCGAGATCGTCTTCATGCTGCTGATCCCGTTCTTCTTCCGCCGCTTGGGCGTGAAGTGGATGATCATCGTCGGGATGGGGGCGTGGTTCGCCCGTTACGTGCTGTTCGCCTTCGGCGCGTCCGAGCTCTCGACTTGGATGCTGCTCTTAGGCGTGGCTCTGCACGGCATCTGCTACGACTTCTTCTTCGTTACGGGGTTCATGTACACCGACCAGAAGGCGCCGGCGAGCGTCCGCGGTCAGGCGCAGAGCATGCTGGTATTCTTCACGCAGGGCGTCGGCATGTTCATCGGTTACGAAGTGGCCGGCCGACTGTTCAAGACCCAGATGCCCAGCCACGACAGCCTCAGCGCGGCGATCGCCGAAGCCCGCCCCGAGTCGACGCTCGGCTTCTTCGAACGCTTCGGCAAGATGTTCAGCCGGGCGTTGCCGGAGAACCTCGATGGCGAACTGGTGAACCAGACGATGCTGCAGTGGAAGGAGTTCTGGCTGATCCCTGCTTACATGGCCCTGGCGATCATGGTGCTGTTCGCGGTGGCGTTCTGGGACCGCGTCGATCGCGACAAGGCTTTAGGTGAGGGCGCCCTCGGCCAGAGCGGCGACGAGTCGGCAACCGCAGGGCCCGAGAACGCGCCGGCCTGACTCGCTGCCCGATGCGACGGACTCTGGCATTTGGCGGCCATGCGTGTAAGGATCGCGGCACGAGTGGCATAGCACCGGGCTAAGCCATCGGAGCCTAGCGGGCGACGAAGTCGCTTGTGGGAGGCGTCTCCAGACGCCGATTACGGTATCCCTTCCGAATCGGCATGGTGTGCGTAATCGGGGTCTGGAGACCCCTCCCACAAGAAGCTGATCCCGCAAGGGCTGACTTCCGCCTTCCCCTTTCCGCCTTCCCCCTTCGCAATGCCTCGCCCCCTCGGAGTCTTCGCCAGCATCGACGCCGGCCTCGGCGTGCACCTGGATGTCGCCCACGAACTCGGCGTCCCCACGGTCCACCTCCACACGCCGCACAAGGCGTCGCGGACCGAGGCGAACGCCGCGGCGTTCCGCGCTCGCTTGCAAGAGCTGGGCATCAAGATCTCCGTCGTCTTCGCCGGTTTTGATGGTGAGTCCTACGCCGACATCCCGACGACACAGCGCACCATCGGGCTAGCACCGGCTGAGACGCGCGCCGAGCGGCTGGCTGAGCTAAAAGAGATCGCCGACTTCGCCCGGCTCCTCTCGTCGCCCGAGACGAGCTACACGGGCGGACCGATCCCCGTGGGCCTGCACGTCGGCTTCGTGCCGCACGACGCTGCGAGCAAGGAGTTCGCCGAGGTGGTGGCCGCGACGCAGGCGATCTGCGACCACTGCTTGCCCCACGGACAAGCGGTCCACTTGGAGACCGGGCAAGAGGCCGCTGGCGTGCTGCTGGAGTTCCTCGCAGCGGTGGATCGCCAGAATCTCGGCGTCAACTTCGACCCCGCGAACATGATCCTCTACGGCTGTGGCGAGCCGCTGCCGGCGCTGGAGCAGCTCGGCAGGCACGTCCGCAGCGTCCACTGCAAAGACGCCAAGTGGAGCGCTGACCCCGGCGAGACCTGGGGCGAGGAGACCGCTCTGGGCAAAGGCGACGTCAACTTCGCCGCGTTCCTCGGCGTGCTCGACGACATCGGCTACAACGGCCCCCTGACGATCGAGCGCGAAATCCCCCAAGAGCCCGACCGCCAAAAAGCCGAGATCGGCGCCGCTCTGGAACTGCTTCGCTCACTCGATAAGTAGGCGACGCGAAGGAAGGGAGATAGGGGGATAATTGGAGATAAGGGGGATCGTGGCCGCCGCGGGGGAAGCCTTTGGTGTGGAAGGTTTTTTAGCACCCACAAAGCTATTCCTTTTCTTAGATAGAGTTTTTTGGCGGCTAGATTTCCCGCGGTCGAACGACCGTCCCCCTCATCTCCAACCATCCCCATATCTCCCTTCCTGAATTAACCCTTCCTCAGTCAGACCGCACCGTTAGTTCGCACATGCTTCGAGTTGGCATCGCTGGCCTTGGGTTTATGGGGATGGTTCACCACCTCTCCTATGCGAAGCTGCGCGGCGTGAAGGTCGCCGCGATCGCCGATCCAGACGCGAAGAAGCGTGCGGGCGATTGGCGATCGATCAAGGGGAACTTCGGCCCGCCGGGGGCGAAGATGGACCTGGCTGGCGTCGCGACGTACGAGTCGGTCGACGAGATGATCGCCGACGCGTCTCTCGACGTCATCGACATCACGCTGCCGCCGGCGCTGCACGCCGACATCGCTTGTCGGGCGCTCGCCGCGGGGAAGCACGTCTTCTGCGAGAAGCCGATGGCGATGCGGCCGGCCGACTGCGACCGGATGGTGAAGGCCGCCGCTAAGGCGAAGAAGCAGCTCTACATCGGCCACGTGCTGCCGTACTTCCCTGAGTATGCCTGGGCGCTGAAAGAGATTCAGAGCGGCAAGCACGGCGCGCTCGTCGGCGGATCGTTCAAGCGCGTCATCTCTGACCCGGCTTGGCTCACCACGTTCTGGGACCCCGACCGTGTCGGCGGCCCGATGCTCGACCTCCACGTCCACGATGCGCACTTCATCCGCTTGGTCTTTGGCAAGCCGATGGCGGTGTCGACCAGCGGCCGGATGCGGAACGGTCTGCCGGAGTATTGGAATACGCAGTTTGAATTTAGTGGGCAGTCCGCAGTGGGCAGTGGGCAGGAAGGGAAAGCACTGCCTACGGTGCTCGCTACTAGCGGAACGATTAATCAGCAGGGGCGGTCGTTCCAGCATGCCTTTGAGATTCATCTCGAGCGCGCGACGCTGGTCTTCGACTTCGCGGTGATCGGCGGCGAGGGCGCCTACCTCTGCCCGCCGACGGTGCTGACGCACGACGGCAAGGCGAAGCGGCCCAAGCTCGCCGGCGGCGACCCGATGGACGCCTTCGAGACCGAGCTCCGCGAAGTGGTTCGGTGTGTGAAGGAGGACAAACCCTCCGCGGTGCTCAGCGCCGAGTTGGCCCGCGACGCGATTGTGCTCTGCCAGGCGCAGGCGAAGAGTTTGGAGAGTGGGAAGCGGGTACGGGTTTGAATGGGGTGGTGAGTTCGGGCGTGGCACGCTCCGGTCGCTGACGCTCCCGGCTCGCCAGCAGAACGATGGCGAGCCGTAAGCGTCACAGGATTATGCAAGGGCTAGCGGTGTGAAGTGGGTTTAGGTGGTTTCGTCCATGAAGCGTTAGCGCGTTGTGTCCCCCTCCTTCTTCAGAGGGAGGGGCTAGGGGAGGGTGCTGAAGCGGGTACC